GCAGCAGCAGCAGCAGCAGCAGCAGCAGCAGCAGCAAACGCGCGCTTGTGCAGAGGAACATGCAGGGGGAGATACTTGGAAGTCAAAATTGTACTTTTGAGGGACTCTGTGCTGCTGCTGCTTGCAGGTGTGGGGTTGTGGGGTGTACAGACAGCTGGGGCGGTGCCGGAAGCGCCGCTGCTGCTGCTGCTGCTGCTGCTGCTGCTGCAGCAGCGGCGGCGGCTGCTGCCTCGGCCTGCTCCTCTAGCTGCTGCTGCTGCCGCCGCTCTTGCTGCTGTTGCCCTTGTTGCTGCTGCTGCTGCTGCTGCTGCTGCTTCGGGCCAGCCCGCAGCAGCAGCAGCTGCTGCTGCTGCAGGCGCTGCATGCATGGGCTAGTTGCGTGTCCCGCAATTGAGGTGTCTGTACACCTGAAATTTAAAGAGGGCTCTCCCACCACCGGATCCGGCAGCAGCAAAAGAAATCTTTTATTTCTTTTAATATATTTCTTTTCTTCATATTTTTATTTCTTTTGTACCTTTTGAAGCCCAGCAGAACATCGGGGGCCCCCAGGGGGGCCCCCAGGGGGCCCCCCAGAGCTCTAGGCTTCGGGGGGGCCCTAGGGGGGCCCCCTGCAGCCCAGCACTGCTCGTGACGCTTTATTTTGAGCTCTTTAGTTAATTTTTAATTTTTATTTTTAATTTAATTACTTTTTATTTAATAATTTTTCAAAACTGCAGCAAAACTCGGAGCAGCAGCAGCCTCCAGGGGCCCCCTAGGGGCCCCAGGCTCGAGCTAGCTGGCGCTGGCTGCAGATTTCGGGGTTTGTTTGCCGTTTAAAAATCATTTAAATGAATTAATAAATTTATTTTTATTAATTTTAATTTATTTGAGTGCCGTTTGAGGCCTATATGTGCAAAAATAAAGACTTGTGGGCCTGAGGATGATTGCGTACTCCTGCATACATTGTATGGATACAAAATAAAAGTATACTTGCTATTTTTCCGATTATTTCTCTTTTTATCATCTCTAAATATGATATATTTGCAAATACAATTGCATATATTCTATTTCTGTGCATAATATAATAAAAGTGGAGGCAAAACAAGCAAAGATGTATATATGCAGGTGTACGTACACCTGAGGTGTACGTACACTGCACGCGCAGGCATTTCAGCTCAGGTGTACATACAGCATCTTAGATCCAAAAAGGCCAATTTAATGCAAAAACAAATTAAAAAAGAACTTCAGGCTTTTGCATTTATTTCCATTTGATTCTGGCGGCCTTAGGAGGGAGAATTGCTCCAAAAACAATCAAATATGAAATTAAAAAGTCTTCTACTTTTTTATATTTTCATATTTAACTTTGAAGTCCACAAAAAGGTCAGTTCAAGAGCATGCATGCAAATGGAAGAACAAACAAATATACTTTTTCAGAAAAAAATATTCAAAAGGTAAAGTTTTTTAATTTCTCCAAATTTTATATTTGAAAGAATTTAAAGTGCCAATAAACTCTTCTAACATTAAACTGGAATAAATAATTACAAAAATAAACAAGAATTAGTATTTAATTTATATTTTTCTAAATTTCTAATCCATTAAAATTACTATTATATGCATTTGTTGGAAATGAATTTCGAGCGCATGCAGAGATATAAATACCACTTCAAAAACTCTTCAAATATATTTTAAATTCTCCTAAAATATATTTTAAATACTCTTCAAATATAAAATCGCGAAAATTCTTTTAATTTGATTCTGAACGTGGGGCTGAGGTGTACAGACACCCGAGACCCACGCGGAGCAACGCAGGGCTTGCTCGTTTTTTTTTTTTGTTTCTTTTCATTCATTTAATGTATTTCTTGCGTTTATTTGATTTATTTCGCTTCCTTTGTTTTTATTTCAGCTATTCTGTCCCTTTTATCTCCTTTTTTTCATTTTATTTCTTTTCTTTTTCCTCTTTTTGCTCTGGGGTGTATGTACAGACAGTGCGGGGGGCGGAAGACAAAAGAAAACTTTTTTTGTTCGTTTTTCTTTTTTTATTTCGCCATCGCCTCCGTCTCATCTTCGAGACCAACTGGTCTCTTAGATCCTGAGGCCTTCCCTCTCAAACCCTAAACCCTAAACCCTAAACCCTAAACCCTTAAACACTACCCGTATGCCCTTCTAGGCCCGACGCCGGGGAGCACAGGCCCTTACAAGTCCCTTAACAGAAGAAGAGAGCTCCAAACCCTCCACTCTAAACCCCAAAGGTCCTAAACCCTAAACCCTAAACCCTAAACCCTCCTGCCCTGCCCCGCTGCAGCAGCGCCTGCAGCTACTTGAGGGCATCTGGGCAGCACCCAACCGCAGCAAAAGAATTGCAAGTGCAGCAAAAGAAAAGAAATGTTTCAGAAATGTGAAAAACAAGAAATAGAAAATGCTGCAGTTGTGCTGCTGCTAATTTCAAATCTAGAGAGAAGAGGCAAACCCGCAGCCCCAAAAGGGGCCCCTACGCATGCATGCAGACAGCAGCGCCGTGCATGCATGCGTGCATGCATGCATGCATGCATGCATGCATGCATGCGCGCATGCACGCGAGCTGCCGGACTGCACGTATGCACTAGCGCTACACACGCATGCATGCATGCATGCATGCATGCACACCTGCATGCACACCTGCATGCACACCTGCATGCATGCATGCATGCACACCTGCATGCACACTTGCATGCACACCTGCATGCACGCCGCTGCACGCCTCCCTCCACGCCAGCCTACCAGCCTACCCGTCCCCCTGCCTGCCCGCATGCCCGCATGCCCGCATGCGCACCTGCATGCCCGCATGCATGCATGCGCGCATGCATGCACGCATGCATGCATGCATGCATGCATGCATGCATGCATGCGTGTCAGTGAGTGGCGGCGCGGAGGCGGTGGTAGGCGTCAGCCACGAGGCCCCCCACAGAGCTGAAGAGGCCCTGGGCAGTTTGGGAGGTGACAGCGCTCTTGACCTCCCCATACACCTGAGACCCCACAGCCACAGCTTCCTGGCCAATCCGCTGCGCCTCCGCCTGCAGTTCTGCTGCTTCTTCGCCGCTGGGCAGCAGGCAGCTGCTGCTGCTGCTGCTGCTGGGGGCCCCCCCCTCCACCAGGTACCCTGCGAACGCGGGGGCCCCCAAGGGGGCCCCCGCGGGGGCCCCCGCGGGGGGGGCCCCCACGTAGCTGTAGTACTGGGGGGCCCCCACTGACACGCACGGCAGGGGGGGCCCCCCCCCCCCCGGGGGGGCCCCCCCCCC